ACATCTACACACACACACACACACGCACGCACGTTCGCACGCACGCTCGCACGCACGCACTCGCACACACTCCAAACATCCCAAGCGCAGCACCTAACCAAGGCAACCACAAGCAACACCTGAAGACAAACCATGCGGCGGCCTTCCATGCCCACCCATGTCGCTTTGGCTGCACATCCCTGCACGCGCGCGCACGCAAGTCCAAAAAAGCGGCGCTTCCCGTTCTTGTCCGGTCAGGTTTCCGCTCGATAGAACACATAATGAAGTTTCTTGTCTACTTGAAACGATTTTGTTCTGCGTGCCCGCTCGTGGAAATTATTCCCCACACACACACATATCGGATCCTCGATAGCTAACGGGGTTCGCAGACCCCTCTCTCCCCAGCAAAAGATCTGGTGCGGAGCGTCTTATGCGGAATCCTCGTAAGTGGTGCGTCGAAATTCACCTGACATGTAGAAGGCCATTCGAAATAACAAAAAAGCACTTGATGCAGGTGCCCGCTCGAGGATGGCGCGCCCCGCGCTCAGAATCCTCTGCAAAGAACAACATTCGGAAGCCGCAACAGAACCAGGAAACCACTGGGCGCCCCTGGATGCCCTGGGAGCGGGAGTCTCGCGTGGTTTTCGAAGGATAGTTCCCCTGGGAGCATGAGCGCAGCATAATTTACAATGGATCGTGGCCCTGGGAGAGCACACAGCGCAATTCACCAGAGATCCTGGACCTGCGCGCGCTGACGCAGCGTAGTCTTGAATCAAAGATCGTTTCCTTGGGAATGCGGACGCCATGTAATTCACGAAAGGTTCCGGCCCTGCCCGGGCTGACGCAGCGTAATGTATGAGGCTCTCGGAGCGCGGATGCAGCGCAATTCAAGCAGAATCCTGCCCCTTGGGAGCGCGGACGCAGCGTAATTAAAAATGGATCGTGCCGCTGGGAGCGCGGACGCAGCGTAATTTTCAAGGGATCGCGACTCCTGGGGCGCGGATCCAATGAAATTTACTGGGGATCGTGGCCCTTGGAGCGCAGATCCATAGGAGAAGAATTACAGAGCAAGGTGGGTCGTCCCTTTGGCACGTCCCCTGGAACGTTCCGTGGCGCGCCCCCTGGCGCGTCCCTTGGCACGCCCCCTGGCTTGCGCGTCCACCTGACACGCTTCCCATGGCACGTCACTTGACACGTTCCCTGGCGTGTCCCCTGGCGCTTACATTAGCACCTCCCCTGGCGCGTCGACTGCCACGTCCCCTGGCATGTCCACTGGCGCGTCCCGTGGCATGCTTCTTGGCTCGTCCCCTGGCGTGTCCCTTGCCACATCCCCTGGCGCGTCCCATGCACGCACCGTTTACATGCAACCGTCTGTTCCGTACCGTTTATGTGGTGCAATGTTATGGTTATACCGTTTACGTAGAATCCTCTGTCTTGTACCGTTCACGTGCAACCCTCAATTACGTACCGTTTACATGTAGCCTTCTGTGTTGCACAATTTGCGTGCAGTCCTTGAATGCGTATCCTCAATGTGCCGCCGCAGCACGGCACGGCGCAGCGCAACACAGCCCCCTGGCACGGTATCATCACTATCGTTATCTTCAGCACTGCCAATGCCCATCGCCCAGCTGAGGGGTTTTGACACGTCCCCATTCCTCGCAATTCTAGACCCCTTTCTTAGGGAAACGAACTCTATACACCGACGCTTTTTCCGACCCTGCGCTGGAATTCGCACAAGGACGTGGATCCTGGTGTATACGGGATCCTGGTGTATACATTTTTCGTTGTTTCCCTCGGGGAAAAGGTATACACCACACCACCCCGACGTCGTCCCCGACCCTCAAAGAGTCGTGGGATTGAAAAAACAACCCGCCACTGGTAATGTATATGTTCCAGCTTCCGACTTCTGGGTTTTCGGGAGGGCCAAACGTACCCCCAGGACGACGTACCCCCCGTGAGGTGTCGCAGCGGCCACGGCTCCGGCCCCAGTGGGCGCCAAAAACGCAGCCGCTGGGCGCTGCGAGGTGGGCCCCGAGGCCGCCTCTCCAGGGTGCGTCTGTTTTGGGGGTACGCTTGGCCTATCCTGAGGGTTTGCGGATCGACCCTGCTAGTTTCTCCACGCTTGTGGATGCCACGACAATGGACACCCTAACAGTCCTATCATTGAATTTAACATGTGTTTAAAATGTAGGAAGCATGGTCTAAACATGTTTACAACCTGCGTTTTCAATGTTTAAAACATGTTTAGCACATGTTTTAGACATCTGGAACTGATTTGGCAGCATGCTTCCTCTTCATCAACCGACTTCCACAGCGCTTGGCCTATCCGGAGGGTTTGCAGATCGACCCTGCTAGTTCCTCTACGCTTGCTTGCCACTGCAAGGGCCACCGAAGGCCTCCGGCGGGCCTCTGGGGGACCTCCGCGGACGTCTCGGGGGTCAGGATCCGGGGCGGAAGCAAACCATCTACCGCCTCGCCCTCGTCCTCCTCTGCTTGGCAGGGAGGGCTCCAGCAACCCAGGACCCGAAGATGTCGTCGTCTCTTGGAGGGCAACTTTTTACTTCCGCTGGCTTCCGCTGGCCTCCCGCCGGCGGAACAAGCTCCCTTTTACTTCCCGCCGCCTTCCGCTGGCCTCCCGCCGCCTTCCGCCGAGGAAGGCGACAACTCCTTCGATCCTCGGAGGCGAAGCCCGGTCTGGCCTCGCAAGGAATAGACGGGCCCTTCCCGCGGGTCTCAGCTCCTGCCCGCTGGCCCGTACCGAGGCCGCCCCATGCCTGGCTTCCTTGAGCCGGCAGGCTGTCGGCTCATGGAGATCGGGCGCCCGCGGCGGGCACGCGCCTGCGCCACAGCCTCGAGCCAATGGGCGACAAGGCCACGCCTTCCGGCAGGCCCTCCGGCAAGCGCCTCGCCGACGCGACCGAGCGCCTTGAGCGCCTCCTGCAGGAGGGCCGCAACTCTGCGCCCACACCGATCCAGGGCAGGCCCGTCCTGGGACCAGGGCTGATCAGGATAGCCGCGCGCGCGCGCGCGCGCGTGTGTGTGTGTGTGTGTGTTTGTGTGTGTGCGTGTGCGTGTGCGTGTGCGTGTGCGTGTGTGTGTTTGTGTGTTTGTGTGTTTGTGTGTTTGTGTGTTTGTGTGTGAATGTGTGAATGTGTGAACGTGTGAATGTGTGAATGTGTGAATGTGTGAATTTGTGAATGTGTGAATGTGTGAATGTGAATGTGTGTGTGTGTGTGTGCGTGCGTGCGTGCGTGCGTGTGTGTGTGTGTGTGATTGGCGCCCTGCGATCCTGTCCACCAGCGCCTGCAGGCGCTCCATGTCGGCCTGCCCCTGCGCCACGTCCTCGGCCTCCTCGCGCGCCGCCTCCTCTCTCGGGGGCGCGCCGCCGCCTGGGCCAAGCCTCGGGCCGCTGCCGGGCGCTGGGCCGTCCTCGTCGGAGCCTCCGAGCGCCGAGTCGTACGGGAAGACCTCGGCGTCCACGAGCGAGCTGCTGCCGAAGGACACGGTCTTGCGCCTCCTCGCGCCTCTCCCGTGCACGGGAGGGAGGGCTGGCGCGTGGGGCCCGATGGCGCCTTCCGAGCTCCAGCGCGCCCGCTCCTTGCGCTGCATGCCGAGGGCAATGCCGCATCTGGCGCCCAGGCGCTGGCCGCGCGCCGAACCGGCCTTTTTCGATGTTGCCAAGGGCGCGGAATCGCTGTCAAACATCGGCTCGCCCTCGCTGTCGGAACCGGCGGCCGTACTCGCCGTAGACAGCCTCTTGCCGACCTCCGAAAGGTCTTTCCCGGGGAAGTGCTCTGAACTGCTATCGGGCACCACGGCCTCCTCCGCCTCCAACCCGCGTGCGTCCAACGCCGATCCTTCTAAATGCTGCGTCATTCTGCCGACCACGCCGGCACGGAACTCAGCCGCAATCAGGAAAACAGCTGCTGTAATCAGCCAATTCAAAAAAAACAAATGGACCGTGTACTCAACGTACCTCGATAATCTGCTCGGTCCTTGAGCCAAAACAGGCTGCGGCAAAGGCGCAGGATCAAAAAGAGGGAAGCACGCTGCCTCCTGAGAAGAGAAGGGTAAGTGAACCGTCACGGCCGGCTGCGGCGGGGCATGGACCCACCAGCCACGCAGAAGCAGAGAAGAGTGGTGGACGCGATCGGCGTTTGAGGCCACCGGGCCCCGCTTCGCCGCCGGACCCCATCGAGGCCCCGAATCAGAGCCCCAGTGAAGGGGCCCCAGGACACACAAATAAGTACACACAAATAAAAAGAATCCGAATCTGTTCCCATATCTTCTTGGTTTTTGTCTTCCCCCCCACTTCCCATATTTTCCCATATTCTCAGGGGAATCGACGACTATTTGTGTCTGCGTTTGTTTTCCCTCCTGACCCAGGGCCTGCCCGTGGGCCTTCCCTGGGCCTCCCCTTCCCCTGGGCCCCATCGACGCCGCTGGGCCGCGGGCTGGGCCCCGCCGGTCCCCAAGACCAGGAGACAAAGAAGACGGTGGACAATAGAGATGCAATGACAAGCATGCGACCCAAACAGACCGACAAAGTGTCCGATGCAGAAGGTTTTGCGTAAGCAGAACCTCCTCGCTCGATATCCGCCTGTGCTGAATCAGATATCCTTTCCCGCCGCAACCTTCAGGGAGAATGAGAACATATGAGGAGACACATGGGCACGCATCAGCGAAAGCCCTGCGAATCCAATCGCACTGCCACTACCTGCGGCTAAACTCAGAAAACAAACACAGAAAGACGATGAAGAGGAGTCGCAGCAAAGTGGTGCGGTGAGCAGCGTGAATGCCAATCTTTGATGCCGATGAACAACGAACGCTCCTGTTTCAAACCCGTCGGCAACAAGTCAATGGTCACACACACATATGTATATATATATATACACACGATATCGTTGACTCGCTTCGCTTCGCCACAACTTCTTGTCCCTCATCCTCATCCGTTGCGCCAGACCGCGGATATCACATCTCACCATGGTATATGAACGACAGAACGTGGTGTGCTCGTGAACTTGATGCTTTTATAATGAGGTATACTTTGATTTGTGTGGCGTGAGCCTGACGGTTTGGGGAATTGAGGAAGTTGTGTTTTCAGAGGTATCTGACGGCTGGCTTGCGCATATTACAGATCACGTGTCACGGCTTGTAAATGCGTTGGTGGTCGTGCTCGTGGTCGTGCTGGTGTGCGTGCTGGAAGCCGTGCCGGTGGTTATGCTGGTGGTCGTGCTGCTGATCATGCTGGTCGTGCTGGTGATGGTGCCGCCGGGTGGTCGTGCTGGTGGTCGTTCTGGTGGTTGTGTTCGTGGTCGTGCTGGTGGTCGTGCTAGTGGTCATGCTAGTGATCGTGCTGGGAGAGCGGGGCCACCAAGGGGGCCGCACCAATTTCTAGTTCAAGTCGACGGCTGTTTCTTTGAACCCGGGGCCAGATGGGGCCAGGATCGGGGACGGTGGGCGCCTCGGGCGGCTTGCTCTGCGGGGGCCAAATCGGCGTGGGTTTCGTCAGGAGCAAGCATGCCTTGAAGCGAAGGGCCACCCAAAAGGCCGAACCGATTTTTGGTTCACGTCGACGGCCGCTTTTTTTTTCGCTCTGGGGCCCTGGATGGGTGGCGTCTGGAACCCTCTCAGAAAGCCGGCGCCGCGGGGCCATCGTGGGCGTGGACTCTCGTAAGCAAGGAGCATGTCCAAAAGCGCAGAGCAAGATAACCCGCTATCCCAAGCCTGCAGAAAATCAACGGAAGCTTGGAGCCGCAGAGCTCGCCGTCGCGGGGCCGCAGGGATCACAAAAGTGTTTGTGCTGAGGTGCTCTGAGGTAACAATTTGTCACGCCGTAAAAGAAATATCGTGCCAACACCGTGCGAAATGAACGAGTGTGGCCTCTCCAGGCCTTCTGGGGGGGTCCTCTTGGGGCCCTTTTGGGCTGTTTTGGGGCCTCTGGAGCTGTTCCGGGGCCTTTCTGTCTTCGTCTTGGGCGGCTTTGGCCGTGCTGACGTCTTCTTGGGCCCATCTCGGGGCCACCTCGGGCACTCGTGGGGGTTTCTTGGGGCCCTCTTGGGGTCTGTTGGGCGCCAGGTGGGGCCCTGTCGGCCCTCCTTGCGGCCCTCTCGGGCCGTCTTGAGGCTCCCTTGAGCCGTCTTGGGGGCCCTTGTGGCGGCCTTGTCGGCCGTCTTGAACTTTTTTTTGGGGGGCCCTCTCAGATCGTCTTGGGCCGTGGGAAGCCTGAAAGAAGTGAGAGCCGTGAAACGATTGAGGGAAACAAATAAGCAACACGTCCCTCTTTCGCCGCAATTCAAAATTCGCTCCGTTACGCATGACCGCTCGGACACTCAAACTCGGAGGATCCGGAACCGACATTTTAGTCGGGTGGAGGGGGGGAGTTCAAACCATATGTTACGTGTGGGTATTGCTGACCTGTTTCCGCCACCCAAAACAATCGAAATCTCGTGGAAACAATTCATGGACAAGAACTCTCTTGGGCCTTCCTGTGGCCTTTTGGGCCCTCTTGTGGGCCTCTTGGGGCCACGTTGGGGTTATATTGGGCCCATCTTGAATTGTCTTGGGCCCCCTTGGGCCTGGACCATCTTGATCCCCTCTGGAAACCTTCTTGGGGCGTTTTGCAGTCCGCTTGGGCTGTATTGGGCCCCTCCAGGGCCCCTCTGGGGCCGTTTGGCTTCGTCCTGGGCACTTGGAAAACCGAGCAGGCGAACATGCGAAACTCCCACCAATAAAAGAAACTGTATTATCGGCTTGTCAGGGGCTCATTAGGAATGCTTTTGGGGCGCCTTTGGGCCGTCTTGGCAAGCTCCTGGGATGCGTTGGGCCCGTCTGGGAGCTCTGCGGGCCGTCTTGGAGGCCCTGGGCGCCTCCTGAAGCCCCTGCCCTCTGGGCCGACTCCTAAAGGGGACTCGGGCGCGGGGCCCCGGTCCCGTAACCTTCTCAATGCTGGTGCTTTTTCTCCGGTTTGGCCTTTGGAAGGCTCGTGCCGAGCCCTCCGGCCGTCAGAGAAAATCTCGTTGTGAAGAGCGGGTCCGAGGGAAGGGGTCGAGAGTTCCAGGGGTCCCGTAAGGGACGTGTAACGTTGTCGGAGGTCTGAGTGAGAGACAGGGAGAGGCAATCAGGAACGCGATCAGGCAAGAGCCTCATCGGGAGGCCGTGGACATACGTGGCCCGCATGCCAAACACGAATGCAAAAGTACTACTTGTCCTCATTACTGTCAGTTCCCTGAGCAGCTTCTCGGTAAAGGTTGTATAAAGTGTTTCTCAGAAGCCAGGTACGGGCGAGCCGGATCTGGAATCGATCGGGCGCATTGGTCTCCCTTGTGGTCTCCCTTGTGGTCTCCCTTGTGGTCTCCCTTGTCGTCTCCCATGTGGCTTCTCCCTGTGGTCTCCCGTATGGTCTACCGTGAGGTCTCCCGTATGGTCTCCCGTGTGGCCTCCCGTATGCACTGTGCAGTACAATCCTAGATACACTTTGTTATGATGCTGATTCGGGACATTTGCCACGTGGGTGTAATG